ATTGAGTACTGAAGAAGATGTGAACCTAATTAATCAAAAACTTGTTGAGTCCTTGAACGCTTCTGGCCATGTTTACATGACTCATGGTGTAATTGGAGGAATCTATTTTATCAGGTTTGCTATTGGGGGTCCCCTTACGGACTATAGGCATGTGGACATGGCATGGACTTTAATAAAGGACCATGCAGATGCCTTGCTGAAGGCCTTCTGAATATTTTGTGCTTTAGCATCACTATTTCTCTTATTATAGCACTAGAGACTGTTTGAATTTCCTTTTTTGTTAGAAAAAAAAAGGGAAAATATATGTTAAGTTTCATATTGTACGCATTAATTAGGATTTGAGTGAATCTCTCTTTAAGCCAGATTTGAGTGAATCTCTCTTTAAGCCAGATTTGAACAATTTGAAGTATGCAGTGCATAATTTCAATATAGAAAAATTAATATATGTAACTTTGTTTAGTGTATATATATATGACATCATATTTGCCACCAAGAACCATACGGAACTAGCTATATCACATCTTTCTAGTGTATGCCCTTCTAGACCAGTTCCCAAACACGTCAGACATAAATAGAGCAAGCATCTTATGAAGCCTCGCAACCCTCTACAACTAATAATGGATTAATAGTAAAAGTGCGCACCTTAAAATTATGATATAGAAAAGAAGTAAATTGATCTAGTATATAGATTAATCTTCCTTTATTTGGTCCCAAACTCTTTTTACTGATTTGCTGGTGGTATTTTTCATATTATGAATCGGATACTAGCATATATTTTATGTCCTTAGCGGCCAATGTGAGGACACAAGGAATCTCAACGACATTTATGCTTGCTATTGCCAACAATACAATCTAGCTATTCACAGTTATTAAACCAATGGTTATGAAAATTCTCTCACTATGCTAAAATTGCTCAAATAACAGCAAAGATTAAGCTAGCAATTCCAGATTTCTGCTGCCAATTCAAGAGCTATGATTTGCAGTTATAGCATTAACTAGGAAGGAATTGTGGCACTATAAATAACAGGAAAAATTAATCCAAAATTGCAGAAACAATGTATTTTCAAAACATTAATTCGTTCTATCATTAGTCTACTATTAGTTCTTCCTGTTATCTCGCGAGTCCCCATCAATTCTTCATTTTGTCCCCCAGGTCCTGATCAAACCACAAGTCTGCAAGATTGCAGGGCATCTTGGAACCATTCATTTGTCACTGAAATTGGTTGTGCATACATATTGTAATGCTACTTCCGGTTGGACTGATCCATCATCTTCTTGCAATATCCCATTCAATAGAGCGGTAAATTGTACCATCTCATCTTCCAATCCAAAACCATCACCAATCCCACCCATCAAATTCGCGGATTGAGCACCCTCAAGGGACGCATGTTGTGAGGCCCCAGTCAATTCTTAAGTTTGATATTAGGGTTTTTCAGTATTTTGTGCGGTTGATTGGGGTTTTAGGGTTAAGAAGGAAACTCTAATCTCGGTTAAGATTGAAAACCCTAACTTTGCTTATGATTAAACCCTAGTTTATGTGTTATTTGTAGGTTCAAGTTATAGTTCATGTTTGGTATTCTAGTGTGTGTTTTGGCACAAATAAAAATAGGATTCGTTTTAGTTTACAAAGGTTTAGCAAGTTTGAATTGGTTAGCAAACCTTAGATTAGTAAACCTTTAGTGTTATAATTTATTAAAAAGCTTAAGTTGGGTTTAAAAATCCTAATTTTGCCAATGTTATAAAAGTTGTTGTTTGATTGTTGTATTATGGAGAAAGAATGTTTAAGTATAGGTGATTAAAATAAGAAAGTGATTAGTGAAGTAATGAAGTGTGATTACATGTTTTAGAGTAGATTAAGTTATGACCTATGGAGTTAATTGAAACATTATCAAATGTTTGAGGGCAAGAGTAGAATAAAAGCTAAGTTGAAGTGCAAGGGTTACAAAGCAAATAAAGCACTTTTATGTGATTGGTTAGCCTAACAATTATCTTCTAGTGTCTTTGACTATTTATTACCTTAGAATTGTAGGATAATCACAAGACAAAACAAAACAAAACTTGGAGAGAAAGAGAGAGAGGAGAGCCGAGATTTAGAGAGTGAAGAAAGGAAAGAAACTCTTCAAGTTCTTCGTTTTCTAGCCTTTCATCTTGCCTTTGAAGCTTGAGGGAACAACTTAGAAGCTTGATTGTTGAAGTTTGATCATCTACCAAACTCATTTGAAGGTATGTCATCTTCTTTGAAAGAAAAATTTTGGGGTTTCTAATCTTTAAGCTATGAAAGTGATGTATTTTGTTGTGATTATGGATTTGTATGGTGGAATTGATGTTTATATTGAAATTTCATGTTTTAATTATGATGATGATGTTGCTGAAATTTTGATTAAGCTTATGAAAGAATTAGGGTTTCATGCTAAATAAGTTAATTAGCTTTAATTTTGTGCTATGAAGATTGTAGTGGTTGTGTTTGATGATTGGTTTCTTTGGGTTGATGAGTTGGTGGTACAAAAACTGATTTGGGTTAAGAAACCCTAGGCTTTCTTAGGTAGTTTAGCTTGGCTAATGTTTAGTTGATTAGGGTTTGGTTAGTTGGGTGTTAGATCAAGTTCCTTAGTGCAAATGAAATTAGGTTAGGGATTATGGTTCGTGTTTGGTAATTTTGTGGTAAAATAAGGAGAGAATTTCGGACCATTAATAGACCTTTTAGAAGCTGGTATACGTGTGTTTCATTGATAGGAATTTGGTTGGAAACTTGTATAAGAACCATAGAAACGGACCGTGCGGTTGCGGCGCGCAAAAACCGGCAAATCTGGAAAACTTGGGCAGTTCAGCATCCGAACTTTGGCTTCATTTTTCTTGATGTTATGTACAGATTCAGAAGTTCCTCAAAACATGAAAGTTGTAGCCTCATAAGTCCTGAATATGCCTGTAAAATTTCAGGTTAAACGGATTAGTGTATCCTGAGTTATAGACAAAACACTCATGCCTGTTTTGAACATTGGTTTGTGCTGCGTTTTGAAGTCAGCCTCTGACCGTGCATTTTTCCATTTTGATTCGGTATGATCTGGGTGTCAACTCCTTCATAAGAAATATAGATCTTGATTTTGGCTTCGAAACGGTATAAAGTGCGTCGAAATCCGAGTTCCGTAGCTCCTGTTATGACCAAAACAAGATCGATCGTCAGAACTGCCTTGAATCTGGACAGTTCTGACGGGTACTTTGACACTCAACTTTCGTTCTGTTCTGAATGGATTCAGGTCTTGGCCAAAACATCAAAGTTTTAGCCTTATGTCTCAGATTTCTAATGCCTTTGGAATTTCCTGATTTGGATTTGTGAGGTGGGAGTTATGGTCCAACAAACATACCCTGTTCGTTACTCTAGAGTGTGAATTCCTGGAACGGTTTTCTGTACTTTCGACCTATTTCCGTTTAGATCCGGATTGAGGTGTCTTCATGAAAACTGTAACCCTTCCTCTTAGCTTCGTAACGGTACCTCATGTACCTTGATCCGACACTCGTAGCTTCAATTAGGCTCAAAACAATTTTGACAGCAAAGCGATTAGGTTACCATTCCCGTTTCCGTATGCCGTTTCCGCACTCGTATGTGCCGATTTTGCCGTTTTTCTTGTTTTAGGCATATTAGTAGCCGTTTATGATATTATGTGACGCAATCTTCTATTTCAGACGGTAGTGAGTTAGGTGGAGCCGGTGGGGCCTACTAACTACTCCTCGCGGCACAAATTTCGAACTTTTGTTCTTTTGTTCGTTGAGTAAGTATTCAGGCCGCTCTTATGTGTTAATTGCTTATGTGTTTCGATATGTATGAAAATGGTACCTAGGCGAGGGTGTACTTTATCGCACTCGACCTAAACCCTAATTTACGCACATATTTGTACATGACATATGTATATGAATCATTTTGTAACTAAACCCCTTGAGCTTGTGGCTCGGGGTGACTTTTGAGTAAATTTTGTGAAGTTTGTGAGTTTGGGGCCCGATCTCATGACCTAGATGGACTATTCGAGTCGGTTAGGACTTGGTCGAAGTCAGTCCAACCTGGTTTGAGGTCACCAAGTTTGTGAATCTGGTTCACCGATTATGTGGACCAAGTTTGTGACCCGAGCTTGTGAACCAAGCTCAATTTCATTCGCTCGAGCAAGTTTGTGAGGTGTCTGACCAGAGAGGGTGATAAGGTGTACGGTGGGAGTACAAGTGAAGTTCTACAGACCATTATTTGTGGTCGACGGAGTGTCGGCAGGAGGTCACACATGACAAACGATCTGGCTTTGGAGCCACCTGTATCCTTATTATGTGATGTTACTTTTCTGCTTTTGCTTTACTCTTACTATGTAACTGTTGTTACGTGAAATTTACGCTTTTGCCCCTGTTTACTTACTAAGCATATAGCTTACCCCTTTCCTTTTGTTTTCCTTAGCAGGGGTCGATGCGGGGACTTTTGGCACATACACTAGTATGGTTAGGTTGCTTGTAATAGTTGGACAATTAGGATGTTTGTTTTTGTTGTGGTGGTTTGTATAAGGACCCTCCTTAGGGTCTACTCTTTGATTTTGGTTATAATTATAAGGATGTAATAGTATGAGCAGGTACTTTTGAAGAATGTAATTAGAAAACTTTTGGGGATTGTATATATTGTATACAGTGCTCTTTCGATTTATCTAGTTTTATTACTTTAGGTTTTGAGTCCTGGCGCGAGCTAGGCAGGCAGCCGGCCGATACCCTTGGGTTCGCCCTTGGGAGAAGTGGGGTCGTCACACATGTCTGTCAGAAGTTTGGCCGTCCATACCAAATAACTTATCAGACATAATTGCTTGAGGATTGATAACAAATCCCTCATAATTATTCAAAGAATTAGGCGTCTCAATTGCTCCATCCGTACTAGCTCCCATGGCCAAGTTAGCAGGAGCGTTCCCTGATGTTTCTTCTTCTACTACTCCGCTTCTTGGCATCTTACTTGGGTCTCATCTTTGTTGCACAAAACTTGGCTATGATCTCTTGCCTAAAACTTTAGGATTCTCGGTACATCTCATGGAACCAGATTGATTAACTCCTTGTTTGGCTTCTGCCACTTTTTTCACCTCAATATATTTTTCATCATCTATTGTGATTCGGCAAACAACATAATCTGTAGGGCCTATGCGATCCAACAAAGAACCAGCGAGTGAATATTCATGCATGATCCATCCACCACCTTGGGGCGAACCAGAATTCAAGACATAGCTCAACATCTTCCTCAAACCAATGATCTCTCCTCTAGAGTTGGGAATGTATTGGGCCTTAGCTTGTCCCTCCCACGTCCCGCAACCAGCGGTTCTTGCAGTCCTATTGGCACTCATCTTGGACAGCTTAGTAAACACATATGCCATTCTTTTCGTACGCTTCTTTCCACTGTCATCACATAATTCCAAACGAACATTATCATCTCCGAAAAGCTTCCAGGGAGAAGCATCAGCACCGTAGAGTATCTTCTCCGGGAAAACATCCGTTATATGCTTTTGCTGGTTTGTGTCCTTTAACCAGAGGAGGGTGATTATTTCTTCCTCTGTTGGCCTAAAATGAAACCCTATCGGACAATCTCGATCCATATATCAACAACTGCTACTAGTAAATTTCTGCAAATCCAATGTATCTCTAAACTTTACCAATCGATAAAATATAGAAATTTATTGAATCTAGTAGCTACTAGTTTATGAGTTTGCTAAAGATTTGCAAGAAAAACAATGAGAGTACCTAGATCAATATCTGAAGTCTTGACTGCTGGAAGAAAATATTTAGGGTTACGGCATTAATCTGCATGATTATATATACTGGTAGCAGGAAAAACCTATTAGACATTTGGAAACTCGAATGCGTAAAGGAGTAGTGTCCTTAATTACAACACTTTTTGTGGTTAAGGCGGTAAAGATGTTTGTTTGGGACTTAAAATTATGTTTATTTGCATGAATTTGTTAGGATCCAGGCGCGGAACCAACAACTATTGAGACATCAAGTGCACAACAATTTAATGGCAAATAAGCCATAAGTATGAAAGATAAACGACACACAATATTTAACGTCGTTCGGCTCCACCATTGAGCCTACGTCCACGAAAGAAAAACCTGTTCTTTATTATGAGAGGAAAACCTATACAAGAATACAACTTGAACTCAAGCCCAACCCTTGTATACCATCTCTCATCTCCCAAGAACCCTCTCTCACACCCCATGTATAAGGCTACATGATGTCCCTTGTGTCTGCTTGTGTGTCACACGTGTAGTAGGCTAACCCACCTATTTATAGAGAACGTTACTGTCAAAAAAGGATTTTACTTGACTACTACTTCAAGTAACTAAAACCACTTAGGAAATTAGTTACTTCCACACAAAACAAGAATTCTACCTAAAAGAAATTAAACCAATTTCCTAACAAATCTCCACCTTGGCGAAAATTTCTTTTAGCAACCATTTGCCTTCAACTACCAAATAATACTGTACCAAACTACATACCCGAATCAATACAGCCCTGACACCAAATTGATTCAATCGGCAAATGAACATGTGTAGTTGCCCCGAGTCTAACCTCCTATTGACTGGCGAGAAGGTGCCTCAATTCACCGTCTCCCTTTACAGAATTTTTTCTCACCACCACTTGCAATCCGGGATCCCCTTTTATGATCTCTAATCCTAACCATTGAGGTAACCAAGTGATAAAATCACCATACTTCTTCCCATCCTCAGGACTGTCTCGTCACGTGTGGTTTCCAAGACTCTACCTAAAACGAAAAACTCGTAACTATCAGAATTTTCTGGCGCATGGAAATTAGATCTCCTTAATTCTTTGGGACACGTGCCACACCACCCAAAAAACATAACCAAAATCTAAAATCCACCTGAATGAAATATCAACCATTGGAGGTGTGAGAAAGCCTCCACCGATTCATGTCCAAAATCAACATTGGATTTCATCTTTTCCTTGACCCTTGAATCACCTGCCTAGATTCACCGTCAAACATCTTCATACTTTTCGACTTTCCATCCTTCACCATCAATGCTTTTTGTCAAGCCATTGAAACAAGGATACCACCCATTGAATTGTTCAATTGGTGACAACTACCAATCCACTTGATCTCAATAACTAACTAGGATCCAACCATGAACTTTGCTCTATTACCCAGTCTCGTAACCAGGCTCTAATACTACTTGTTAGGATTCAGGTGCGGAACCAACAACTATTGAGACATCAAGTGCTCTGATACCAATTTGTTAGGTTCATGAGTAAGGTGTTGTGTCCCACATCGGTCCGAGAGATGGAATAAGAGCGGTTAATATGTAAGTAAAGGCTCAAGACCTAATAGTTTAAGTTTTTTGATTAGAATTGGGTTCCTAACTTACATATTGGGCTCTTTGGTAGACTCTCTCGACGTGTTTCTCCCTAACAAATTGGTATCAGAGTTTCATGTTGCAAAAACTGGGTTACTCATGGGTAAGTGGATTCTTCTCGGAGTTGGACCGATAAAAAATTCTCTTCTTGATGGTAGACCGAAGTGCCAAGAAGTTTGGTTGATGTTGGACCAGGTGTACCATGGATTTGGCAAGGGTTCCGGTTGATGTTAGACCAAGAAGTCAAGGGTTGGCAGGGGTCCAAAATATAGTTTGGATGTTAAAGAAGAGTGGGTCCATGTTTGGAAGAAGAGATGACCTTAAGCGATAAGGTGGGCTTGTGTTGAGTATTAAAGTGTGCTTGGAAAAATAAGAGTTTGTAAATTTAGGTTTAATGTGGGGGTTACTCATGAAGGGGGAGATTTGTTAGGTTCATGAGTAAGGTGTTGTGTCCCACATCGGTCCGAGAGATGGAGAAAGAGCGGTTAATATGTAACTAAGGGCTCAAGACCTAATAGCTTAAACTTTTGGATCAGAGTTGGGTTCCTAACTTACATATTGGATTCTTTGGTAGACTCTCTCAACGTGTTTCTCCCTAACAAAATTTACGTCGACTCTATCCAGAACATGCGTAGATGTGCTTGCTGGCAAAGGCTTGAATTGGGAAAAATATGAAAATCTGATGGGAGGAGAAAAAATTAACTAGAGAACTTTTATATGATACTCATAATTATTGGATTCATGTACATTATGTTCATATTAAGCACAGGAGGGAGGGTTAGATTATGTGATAAAGTGAAAGAGATTGTAAGTAAGAGATTTTGAATTCATAACCCCCCACTTACATAAAATAAATAAATTTAAAAAATGTTCATGTTAAGCATCTAAACATTGTACAATGAGCTTATTGAGAGGAGTACAAAAAAACCTTTATAAATTAATAATCTTGGGATCATATAGATTCTATTAATTTAAAGTGGTATTAATTAATAAATTAATAATTTATTAATTTATCGAGACTTGCAATTCAAAGAAATACTCATATAATTAACTAAAATTTTATTTTATTTTATAAAAATATGAATTATTCAATTAATTAAAGGAAGATAAACCTCTAAGAACATAAATCAATCTATATCTACTTGATTTGCAAGTATAATTCTAATATATTCAAGTTTAGAATAAATTTTGCTAGCATCACTGAAAATTCTACTAATGATGAAGTTGAGGATGATACAATAGATATGTAAATTTTCATTAATAAAGCATTAATAAATTTTCATAATTTCTTGTTGCAATAAGAGAATTGAAGTCCAAAATTTTTAGATGGGATCAGAAAAATTGGGAATGAGATTCAAGTAAATTTAAATTTTAAGAAAAATAACAATAATAGAATCATATTTAAGGAAATATGATATGTAATTTTAGTAAATTATTAATTTATGATATAAATGGACCAAAGAGTTTTATAAGGCTTTCAACAAATATTATTATCTTATTCTTTTACTGAAATTATTAGTTTAGCTCGTTAGTCCAAGTCAAAATCAAGAAAAATTATTATTTAATAAAGACTATTAATTTATTGAATATTACTTTATAGAGATTTTACTATTTTACAAGAAATTAAAAGCAACAGTATAGAACGTGAATTGGGAAAACATTATTGATACGCTATTCCATCAATTATGAGGAGTTGACAATCTAGATTCCCATTCGAGTAATATGAAAGGAGACATTAAAAACAATCCAAGAGCATTGGAATATCTGTGGATTTGCCAAAGTAGTTTTCCTTCTAGTTCTTCTAGGGGTAGCTAAGTGGTATCCTTATCAATTTGCAAAATGCTCATGTTTAATGTTGTTCAATTGGACAACAAAATGTAGTTTAGTTGGTAAGGCATTTCACAGTCACAAATTTGAGTCATCAAGAGAATAAGTAAAAAAGTATTATTGATCCTCTTTTAAAATAAAAGAGGTTAAATAACATATGACCCTCTTGTGATTTTGTTTATTGCCACATGACCTCTCTAATGTTTTAAAATATTCATTTCACCCCCACAATTTTATGTAAAGTGAAAATTTGATAAAAATAGTCTATAATGTCGTTTACTGAAATATTAATAGCGTCCTTACTTAAATGCTAAATCAATAAACGACTTAACTACCTTGTATAAAAGTATAGGAGGATTATGTGAATAAATATAAAAATCAAAGGGGAGTAAAATAGATATTTATATAAATCATAAAGGGGTTACATGAAGATTAAGTTTTTATTACACTTGCTTTTAGAGTGTTTTTGATATAAACGCCGTAACTAATTGTGCGCTCTGTTTATTTTTCACTTTATATAAATCATAGAGGGTTAAATGGATATTTTGAAACTTTAGGGGAGGTCATCTGGCATTATGTAAAATTACAAGGGTTTATAAGCAATTTATCCAATGAAAAAGGGAAAAAAATGTAGTGTTCAATTGGTCTTTAACCAAAATGGAACCAATTCAAATGCTTGCACTTGGTCTTTTGTTCTTACCCCAACAAAGGCAGCCCTTAGTAGTCATGGATAGAGATAAACAATGTCACTCATTTATACTTTAAAGACTACATAAAAGGAAATTTATAAATAGTCATGGACTAACAAAAAAACTTGATTTTTTCTATTTGGAGCTATTTGTAGTTCATTCTAACCAATGCTACAGGTACTTCGAACATTGCCATCCCTGTCAAGGTGTAGTCTTACGGTTCGGTCACCACAATATCTCATGATTGGTCGAAAACCCCAAGCTAAAATTTGTACCTTGACCAACGGGCTATCTTGTTGGATGATGGCCCGAGCAACTTCTTCATTCACCCCAACCAAATTTAGCCAATCTTTCTCGAGTACTGCATTTGGCATATTATTTAAACTCCATCGAGTTATTTTGGCATAAATGTTAGTGTTATACACATTTAGAAATATGAAGATCTATGTTATGGAAAAAAATTGAGGAGGGGAAGGTGGAAAGGCAAGTGTATATATCTATACTTTCAGACTTGGACCGGGTATCGACTTGGTCAGAATCAAGGGTCGGGGGTCATTAGGTTCAATCAGATTCGATTGAGGGTTAAATCGGATGACATCATAAAATAAAAATTATTTAAAAATTAAAATATTATATTTAAAATACCTAAGATCATGTTAACATTAATCAAGGTATATTCATATATATATTTAATGTTTCAAATGTATTTAA